CCCTCCCTCTCTGTGCATCATCTTTAACTCTCCTCTCTCCCGTGTCTCTCTTCTGTTTCTTTCTCACAGTCTCTCGCAGCCGTCCAGGCCCGCACAGCCGCTGGCAAAGAGGCCATACACTTTTCGGGATCTGACGTCGGAGCAGCAACTGCTCTGCTTTACCACTTTTTTTGTTGCTATGCTGCTGCGATTTTTGCGTCGCCATCGCGGCGACTATTGCTGCAGCAATTGCCACAGCTCCCACTGCCGCCCAGAGTTGATGTTGCGGCAGTGATGGTGGTGGCGGTGGTGGTGGTGGCGGTGGTGGTGGTGGTAGTCGTCGTCGTTGCTTTCGCCGTCGTCGTCGTCGTCCTCGAGATCGTGATGTCATCATCCTCGTCGTTTTGGTGGAGGTGGTCGTCGTGTTTCGTTGCGTTGTTCCTTTATGCTGGTTTTCTTTGCATTTCTGGGATCTGAATAGCCATGCAGGGCTGGCGGGTGCCTGCTTGACAGGAGTTGAGGTTGTGCTTTAGCAAGCACAGACAGGTAAGAGCAAGGTCTGGAAACAGACACTTGACTCGTCGTTTAGGGGCAGCCCTGTGCACTGATCTGCTGGCGATGAGTCTCAGAGCTGCGCTGGAATCTGAAAGCTGGGAATCACAAATACCGCTTGTTTTACCTTGCTCTCAATCTGCACAACTAGGTCGCTCGAGCGTACATCTCTCCGGAACGTTTTTCACCGTGCGAGAAATATCGAGCAGACGGCCTCTAAATCCGAAGCTCTGCCTGTCGCACTCCATGTTGAACCCCACGACCCACAAGCTCCATTCTTGGTTCCTGGAGGAAGGATTCCCCGAGCCGGCCGGGGCCCAATCCGTCACGAAGTCGCTGAGAGATGGTGTCAATCTGGGTTGAAGAGGGTTTGGAAGGGCTGGTGTCAGGGTTTGACATTTGGGAACTTCAGCACTCCTGAACCAAGGCGCAGTCTCCGAACAACGCAAGGCAACACAGCAGTAACGGTCCCAACTTGTCCATGGACCCTTGGACTGATATTCGCCCAGCTCTTTGGCCGGCTGCCGAACGGAGTGAAGATCATCGCGGTGGATAGACAGGCTCGGAGCTCAGAGCTTGGGCTCGGAGTCTTTCCGTTTTATGGCCCATTCCGGTCTTTGTGGGCTCCGATCTTGTGAACACGTCCTTTACATTCAGAGTAGTTCAAGACCGACGTCGCATGCGCCTTGTCATTACCGTGGTCAAGCTTCTGACAGGGCCTCTGCTCTTCCTTGGGCCTCTTCGTCCAAGCAGGCGCCGAAGATTTGGCATTGAGGATTGGAGTTTCAGTTCCTCATCCCCGGACCCAAGATGTCGTGAGCTGCCTGTAATAAAAGTTCTGTAGCGTTGAATCTCAACAGCAGAGGCCCAGACTCAAGATCTTGTGTTGTCTGATGTGAGGTCTTCTGTGGGTTTTATGCTAAACTTAGGCACCTGCAAGCTCCTTCTGAAGGAAGCCGCTACGTCTCCGCCGAGGAGGCGTGTCTGCCTCACATGCTCGAGCTGATGGCGCCCGGCGCTCAGAGCGTGGGGTTCAGGTCACTCACGGGGCCCGATGCCCCACAGAAAATGCCCATCGGGGCCCGCCTTCTCGTCGTGTACCGAGGGAAGCCCACGGCATGTAAACGTCTCCGACGATTCAGATGAAGTCACTCAGGTTCCGGTCTTCGTCGCACCTGACGCATCTCCGAACGCAGAAGACGCTCGAGCAGCTCGGGGCCGCTGCGCCCGAGGGCCCAGGGGAGTTAGGGCCATGCCTTAGCACTGTGTGGCACTTCGCAGAGCACTCTAGGCTCTAGCCTCAATTCTCGACAGCAATCTGCTGCCGTCTCGAATCTGCGGGTTCAGCCAGAAATTCCGGGCGTTCCGGCACGAGTATAAGGGGGAGTGAGAGACGCAGGCTTACGCCCAGGAGAGACAAGCTACGGGCCAAACGAGTCGGTCTTTGGTTTCTCGTGGTTTTTCGAGGGAAAGCCCACCTGAGCTTCAGGCCGTCCCAGAGCTTAAGACATTTTGGATGGAAGAGCATAAGAAGCAAGATAGCCACAATCACCCAACTGGTACGGGAGTTGTGTCTTCGAGCTCTTGCTTCAATGAGGTTCAGAGGGGACCCAAGCTCTGGTTTTCGGGCTTCCAAAAATCGCCGAGCCAAGCTGTTGGGCTTTCAGGTCTTGCCGAGTCGGCCGGGAGGTGCCAGAGAAACGGGCTTGGGGTCAGATTGCTGTCTAAGACGCCAGACTGCAGAAGCCGACATGGCAAAGCCCATGGAGAAAACCCAGTCAGCATTCAGTCAAGGGCGACGGCCGCCTCTGCACACAGCTAGGGCTTGCCTTTCTGCGGCGATGTTGGTGGACAAGTTGCTGCGGCTGGGACTCTAAGTTTCTAAGTCCTAGTCACTCCGATCCTCCGCAAGCCGAAAGTAAGGGACTAATTATGAGGGTTTCTCCGTTTCCAATCTGCCAGGATGTCCTCTACCAGGTCGATGTGCCTTTGGCTGGGCTGAGCCGTGGGCCGTGGGATATTCCGGGGTTTCTGGGAAAGGCTTGGGTGGCCTCGAAGATATAAACCTTGACTCTGAACTCAAAGCACAATCTGCTGAGCAGAGTCCTCGAGTTTGAAGAAGACATGAAACATAACATAATATAGGTTTTAAGACTGTGCCACGGCCATCCCACCTACGAAAAGCCAAACTCAGGTGCTGAGGGAGTATGTGCCCGTGGCACTGTCCGGGACCTACAAAATCGATTCTATGCCTCCTGAGTTTGGGATGGAGAGATGACGAAGCCCTAAGCCAAAGATACTGAAGAAGCCCTGCAGTCCTAAACCATGGAGCAAGACGGTGCGGGATGCCCGTCGTTCCGAGTTATGTGTGCAGAATGCATGAGCCGATGGCAACGGTTACGGTACTCGTAGTTCTGGTGATATTGTTGACCCCAGCTCATCCGTGGTTTTGTCGTGTCGGCAAGGTAGGTTCCGAGATACGTGTGCTTGATTGGGGCTGGGGTGTATGAAGTTGCGTAGCATGTTCCTGCAGCTCGCGAACATCGAGCATCAACATCAAGCCGGCAACCGAAGGCCATCAGCTCCACGAGGGGCGAAGCTGGGCACAAATTCCGGAGCTCCCTAGGCCCCTGATGTTGGCCAACGTACTTTGCCCTCTGGCCCGGAGCCGAGCAGACCCCGTGGGAGCCTGGGGTCGCAGCTTCTCAGTTCAGGATTGATCTTAGGTTGTCGAATATCAGCATACTCCTATGGTCAGTTTACAAGCTCTTCAATAAGACAGAGAACAAGAAGGTGCTTCCATGTTGCGCAGAAGAAGGGTTTTTGGCCCTGCACCTGCAAGCCCGACACGCGGAACCACAAGCTCTACCTCGCCTTGCACTCTTCGGATTTGCCACCCTCCAACTGCGCTGGTTCGGGCAGGTGGGCATTAAGATTCAGGGCCTGTGGACCATTGCGATGCTACCCACGGGGCCGGGTGTGCATAGCACAAAGTTTCGGGGGGGAATGCAGGATCCACAGTGTCTGCTACAGCGTCGAACCCAACTAAGCCTCTGAGGTGCTTCCGGAGGAGGTCGCAGAGACTCAGCAACACGTTCCGGAGCTGCAGCAGATGCTGGAGGACTGCCGCCAGGCTTCAGTCCGAAAGCTGCTCTAGCCGCACTGTCGCCCTGTAGCCTTGCGGGACCCCGGCCCCAGCCCCTGAACCCTGAACCTGGAGCCAAAAATTGTCGGGTTGTAGGCGGGCCCTTCCAGCAGAGGAAAAGCCGGAGAGCTTTGTGGTGGAGCTGCTTCATGCCGGGTTCCCGGTTCCTGATGCCTTTCCTCATCTCCTAGAAGTGTAGGTCCCGAAGTCCTTCAGCCCGATTATTTCCTCACGGATCCATATACCCCCATTCCCTAGCACGAAGAGGACCTTCGAATACTGCGAAGCGGCGTCATGTCGATTCGGCCATGAGCAGTGCGAGGAATGAGATCCCAGGTGAGGCGGTTAGGTCCGGGCCGCCCTGGCCGAAGTTTGAAGAAAGATAAGCTCAGCACCTCCCACAGGGCCCTGAGGCCCACCGCCCCTTGAGGTAGCCGCGTACCAAGGGAATTCCCTCGGCTATCCGCTCTACGCCACAGAGCAGGAACTGACATCGTCGCAAGCTTTGGTGTTCGGGGGAGGCCGTTTGGAGGTGCTCGGGGAAACTGCTGCCATTCAAGCCCCCAAACGGTCTCAAGTGCCAAGTTGCGGAGTAGCAGGGATTCGTGATGCGGGGCCTTGCAAATTCGGGGCTTGTCTAGTCAGAAGAGGTTTTTGCGGGCTCTCGCACGAGACATAGTATTCACAACTTTGTGGTTTCGAAGATGAGGTTAGGATTAGAGTTTGGGGTTGTCCTCTGCTAGCGGTTTAGGCACCGGCAGCCATTGCGCATTCGGAAGTGTCAGCCTGATGCCCACTGCCACTCTTCCTCCCATGGTGGCCGTAGTCCTGGAAACGAGTATACCCTCAAACCCCATGCCTGATACCATAAAGCTTCAGAGATCCGAACGCCTAACGCTGTGACATGGGGAGCATCTTATAGACCTCAGCCCGACTCTTTGGAGCCATGACGATCTGCACCGAGATCATACCAGGAGCTGAGGGCACGTTCTCTTCCGGTTGCGATTCTTGGGACATTTTTACACCTTGAGGGATGACAGATGTGACAGGGCGCGGGGCTTCAGGCTCTCTCCGCTGGCAAAGCCCTGGTCCATGGCTTGAGGAATCAGAATGGGAGCAAGACTGACTGGCAGTTACTTGTTTTGAATTTCCGCTTTGTTATTTGACCAGAAGGTGTGGGACTTGGTGTGCCCGAATTAAACCCAGAAACCCGTATGCGGAAGTAGAGGCATTTGCACTCCGAGTTTTTTGCCAGGAGCATATCTGAAAAAACTCGTATTATCATCGTGCACAGAATTGCAGGACAGAGAGTCAACACTTACGCAATTACCCAAATCCAAAAAAGCGCTGCTACAGAGGACAGTTCTCCTCGCTGGGCCGGCAGACCGAGCGTTCGCTGCAGCAACTCGGCATGGCATGAAGACGAGCTCTGACGAGCTCTGGGCTCTAAGAGGCACACCACTCTGGCACGTTGAGAGCTGAAAGGCTTTGACATCCTCGGATCACTGGACAGGTATGTAGCGGCATGTGTACTGTCGGGTAGGTGAGCTCCAGGACCTAACCTCGCTTGACTGTGAGGGTTCTCCAGCGCCAGGAAGCTCCGCACTCATGTGGAAGCCGCCGACAAGGAGCGGGCTGTGGCACGCATTGGCACGCATACAAATCATGTCAGCGCATCTCCACTCCAAGTACGTAGGGGTGGACTTGGGAGTACAACGTCACAACGTCCCATGGTCGTCGACCCAAAGATCTGCCATCTGGCTCAGAGCAGGTGCTTCGGGAACCAGCTTCCAACCGAAACCCCCAGCCCCATGACCTCAACCTCTCCAGCCCAAGCAAGGGTTTCTGACTGAATTCCCCAGCAGTGAATCCCGATATTCTTCTTCCTTGCTTCAGCGGAAAGCCTTCAGACCCCGAGCATCGCCATGCTACGTGTCTGGGGCCTCTCGGGCGCGTTGGTGGCAAGCTTCGGTCAAGACGAGCTGGAGGTGATCCGCTTGGGGGAGAGGCGGTAACGCATCGTAGAGTTTGAATTATGCCAACTAAGCCTTCGCATCTTCAATTTACTACACTGGATAGTCCTCTTATCAAGTTACGATATTGTTATTTGCACCGCTATAGTTACAATCGCAACTGTTAATGTATGTGAAGACTGAAGAACAGACTTATAAGATGAAGAATAATGCCACCGATGGAGTTGGTAGCACGAGTGTGTGGATCACTTGCAAAGCATGTTGCAAATCATTTTGTGGTGCCAGTGATGAGAATACCTGGGCCCAGGAGTTCGCAAGACGGGGAGGCAAGACGGCCAGGGCACTGAAGGACATGCAGGTTTGTTCGTCCTTCATGTTTTCACAAATTTCTGCATCTCCAATTTTACAGTTCGCTCCTCTAGGTTTTCAGCTGATAGAACTCGAAGCCTCAGCCCATCTGCGAACCCCCGTGAAACCAGCCTGCCCCCTTTAACTTCCTCAGCTCGAACCGCTCACAGGCGCGAGCTTCAATGCTCTAAACTTCGCGCATTCGATTTAAAACTCTAGTTCCGAATCACCGAAGCAGAGAAACCGAAGCCTTCAGGAGCACCTCAGCAAGACGGTGCTTCGAGGCGTCTCCTGCTTCCGCCAGCAGCTCTTGGACCATGGCTCCTTGGAGCGGGAGGGATTTTCCGGGTACAGCAACATATTCAATATTCAGTCACACACACACACACATATATATATATATATCTCCATAGATAGGTGCAGAGGTGTTTTTGATGTATCCCTCAAGCACTTTGTCAACTCCAGGGTTGCGAGATGAGCATTTTGGTTGTCTCCGCTCAAGGCGAGGCCTCTGTCTGAAGCCCAGCGCAAATCCCGCCAAGCCTTCCCTCGAACATCTTTAGCCATGAAGCCTTCCTGAGCCGCAGCCCAGGCCTTCTTTTGGAGGAGATGTCTCTGCTGGCAACCGGGATGGAGCTGCAGCTCGTGGTGCTGCCGTTCCTCAAGGCTTCGGCTTTGGTTTTCATAGTGGCACATGATGCAGGGGTCCCTATGTTGAAAATCCTGCTACCTGGGATTGTTTAATGAGAGGACTCTGTTTTGCGAAACTCTCGGACAGTAGGGGAAAGAGCGGAAGCCCAGCTCGAAGGAAGTGTGATGTCAGCAGTTTTCTAACATCGCTGCTCATGCGGGTGTTTCTCTCTCCGCCAGCTGTCTTGTTGCAGTCTCGGGATTTGGTAGACAGGTCGCTGTAAGGCCAAATCTTCATCACCCGACATTTCCCCTGCAGAGTTCATGAAGCTAGGCCAGGCGGATAACAAAAGCCCGGAGCTTCCTGGCGTTAACCAGCGTAAAATAGCCAGGCACGGACGTCCCAGAACAAGTAGTGGTGCTGCATGACAGCGCTTTCTCCTTTTTGTTGGGAGGGGGGGGGGGGTATCAAGAATGTACGGACACCCAAATCCCAAGAGCGGAAGCACTGAAACTCGAAACCTCCCAGACATAAAATCTCCGCAGCCCTGAAGTGAAACAAGGAGACCTGCTTCATCCTGCGATCCTAAGCCCTGCAATGCAGCTTCAGAGCAAAAATGCAGCATCCAGTGCAGGTCGAGACGCGGCGGAGGTCAGACTTGCATCTCGCCGCAGCGGAGGCTGTAATACCGCCCATTCGTCTCGTCTTGTTTTGGGGGTCCCTTCTCTGCCTTTCGCAGAATCCTGCAATCTCGAAGCCTTGTGCAGAGGATCAGGTGGCCGAGATGGAGGTGCTACTCCAGCAGCCCCAGGCCCAATCGTTGAGGTTGCTGGGTCTCTATAAGTATACTGTCACGAAGCTTTATTCTGCTATCCAGGCCCCGCCATATGACCCTGTAAAACTATTACTGTATTCCACTTGTTTAGATTTCGCATGTTAGAGTTCTCTGTAAAGACGGGCCTCAAAAACCGAAAGTCTTCTACGTGGGGGAGGGAGGGGTGGGGGGGGGAGGGGGAAGGGGGGCTCGGAAAAGGGCCGGGGGCAGGCTCGGATGATGTGAGAAAAGTCACATCTGTATTTATGCATTGATGGATGGATGTATGGATGGGTCGATGGATGTCCACACAGACGGCTCTCGGCTCGAGCCATATTGGGAATTTGAGATAGAATTATAGCTCATGACTTCACCGGTGGTACAGTACTGCTTACAAACCACTGCGCAGCGACTGCGCATCGCAAAGTGCTGGCTTAGCTGCGCTGCATTCAGCTGTGCACTTACCAGTTCAGCCATATTTTTCGTGCAGTAGCGGCTTACATGTCGAAGTGCAGCGAGGAGCTCTCATTGGTCCCTGGCGCTTGGGCCTCGAGGCAGGAGCCGACGTGAAGAATCCGAGCACAAAGGAAGAGTTGGTGGACGGATGCTGGATGGCAAGGTCTGCAAATTCGCACAGCAGATATGCTTCGGTTGTGTGGCCAAATGAAGTAAGCGCATACAGCCGAGTAACGGCCATGCAGGTGCACAAATGTTTGCAGGTCTATGCGCACTCTGAGGCAAAGGATCTGTGGCAGCAGGTTCGAGAACAGCGCTGGCCACAGCATCCTCAGTTGCCAACCCAGTGCCACCTCGAGCCATCATGTCAGTACATATCAGTGCTGCACCTTCCTTTCTAGCATGGAGGATCACAGTCACGATGGAGTCACCTGGATCTTCAACTGTGACTGGCCGTGCTTTTTCTGGACCTCATGCAGCCTCTAGCACCCTCTCACAAGGTCCCAACGCCCCACTTTACGGTGGCCTGTGGCTCTGCGCAGACAGTTAGTTGTCTTGCCGGCGGCTTTGGATCCGAACCCCTAGCCATTGTGGCATGGGACATGTATTCTTGTAGTGTGCCACAATGTGCTTCAGGTGTACGCATCTTCTGCACTTCTACCCTCAGCTCCAGCAGTGGAAGTGGAAGATGACATCGCAAGCCACGGCCAAAATATGGGGAATTTATCCAGGAGCCAGACACGTCCATGTCCTCGAGCACTTGCCGACCGGTGTGGCCGCAGCCTGAGACGTGGTCACTCGAGGTGCGCTGAGAACGCAGAGTGGCGCTCTAGGTTCCTGTCCGCGCTGTTCTCACTTCTCATGTGGCTGCATGGCCCGTTCCTCGGGCGCATGTTCACGATGTTTGCGACTCTGCGATGCTGGCAGCAACTTGTGCTTTCTGTGCTTTCCCTGACACCGCATCCAGTACGTGATTGCAGCTCGTGGGCTCACGGGTTCAATGCTCGTAGACGGACGGTGTGCAAGAGTCTCAGTTACTAGACTAGAGCTTGTGTGACTTCGGGGATCTCCATGGGCTGCCCTTTGCTCCATCGCTTTCCAATTCACGGTCTGCAAGGTTGATCCGAGAGGGAGCCGTTCTGTTTGCGCAGATTAAAGCGCTCCGTGTCACGCAGCCATGGGCAAACGATGTAAGCCTGGCAGGAGACAGAGGCTTCAGAGGAGGGGTGCTCCTCTCGCGGAAAGATGGGCGTTGATCCCCCCCCCTCTCACAGTTTACTCGGCGCCGATTCTGCGGCCTGACTCACCACCCCGTCGCACAGAGGGCCTCACACAGACCGAGTTGGAAGCGGTCGCTCGCAGGTGGACCCTCAGGCAGTACCGTGTAGCCAACTCGATGCAGATGGCTACGTCTGAAGCAGCTGACTTCCTGCTTGATACTTTGCGTCGCGGTGATGGGGATGAGCCAGCGGGTCAGATCCTTCGGCACCCGCGATCGTTGGCCCGAACAAGAGCGCGACTGATTCTGCAACATCGCCGAACCGCCCGGATGTCAATCTCGGCAGGGCCCACAGGTGCCAGGCGATCCAGTAAACAGACTGCCGACATCATAGAGGACAGCTCTGCGGGATTATCTGCCTTGTCCATGCAACACGTCCATGTTGCACCAGATGCAACCAACACCAAACCAGCGGCTCATGACTGTGCTGCAGCAATGGCCACCGCGACTAGGCCTCGTTCTGCTCGTAAAGCTCAGAAATCATGGCTCAAACGATGCTGCAGCTCTCCTGACTATTTTCTTTGCCGGGTTATGGCACGTCGGAGTGTTCTCCATCTGGAGGTCGGACGTTCGGCGCTTTATGTGCCAGAGCTGCAGCTGTACGTGGATTCGGACGAGATCAGCGCCTGGCATACTCGAATCACGCGTGCTGTCGGTGCTGCCAGGACCAGGGTGGATGAGCTCGAAGCTACTATTGCCGATCTTCGCCTACTGCATAGATTCGGCCGTACACACTTGCCCGAGTGCCGGCAACCCTGGCTGGACGAAGTCCTAGCTAATCATGGCTGGCCTATGCCCGTAGCGTGCCAGCGTGGGTCAATTTTACGGGATGATCCCCCTGCGACCTTGCCGCATGCGTGAGGGCTTTGAGATCAAAAATTCTTGCGAGTCATGTGCTGCGCCAAAGTTCGAGATGCATCTGCTGTGGTACATCGCGGTGCTCAGCCCTGCGTGCCAAGGCCGAGGCAGCCGACTTTCGTGCAAGCAGCGGCGAGCTCGACTGTAGCGACCGTTTTAGCGACCGTTATCGCGTCTCTGGTGACCGCTGATCACAGGCTGAGAGTAATTGCTTCGCGTGTAGAACAGAAATCCCGTGATTTCCTGTGGCTTCTTGTTCCTTAATACAGGCTGCAGCACTTTACGTTTTGCAAATGAGGGATCTAGTGCAGTGCCACTTGCTCTCAGGGATGTGGTACCCTGGAGCAATGTGTTGCTTTGGGTCCGTGTGCCAGAGTGGACAGCTGCCAAGCGCAGTCGCGCTCTTCCTGACTTGTTCTCGGGTGTCAGTTTGCTGGTATGTGTGGCAGCAAAGGTGATCTGCCTTTTCGTACACTTCGTGCATGATCAGCACGGCCAGCACGTGATCCGGAAACAGCAGTGTTTTTCGATCACACATGATACAGGCTGGCGCGGCCTTTACATGGCGGCCTTTATGAGCAGCGTCAGCGACGGGCTCTGCAACCGAGCATGTGTCTTTTAGACATTCTTTGGCTTGGCCGTCGGGTTGCTTCAGCGCAAAGCTGTTAATGTGAATTGTGCTGCACGTCTTTGAGCAGTTTCTTGCAGATATTTGGTGGACTATAGTGGGTCTATGCTGCAGATTTGCTTTTTGCCAAACAGCCACACAGTTGGAGTTACGGCAACGTGCGGATTCTCTCGTTTTCTCGGGTTTCTTGCAAAGACATAGCAGTGCATGTGGATCCTGCGCTTTTAATTGGCTGGACCAGCGAACTTGCGTTTACCGCTGGATCCTTCCCCTTGGGCTGCAGCCTTACCTGCGTTACTGGTGATTGCGCACGCAAGTCTATCGCACAGCTGGGCTGAAGCTGTCCAAACATGTTCTAAGCTGAAATGCCAAAATCCAACAGGGCCTTGCGCTCCGAGGTCGTTCCCGCATAAGACACGTTCCGTTGAAGAGGAGCAGTTGGCTGGTCCGAAGACTCTTTGCTGCCTCAGCAAGCCAATCCTCAGCTCGGGGCCAAGCACCGACGGTGGAGGCATGCTGCACTACAGAAATAACTCATTATGGCGGACAGCCTGCTGCAAAAGGCAGCAAAAAACAAGCAAGACTCCTGCAAAAAAGCCCGCGTATCCTGCAGGCAGCAGCAAATGATTGCGTGCGGATGGACGCGCCCACAAGAGAACAGTCTTGCTGGAGTTTCCGCTTGGCAGCACGAAGCTAATCGCGTCGGCCCATAAAAACACAAGGAACATCGCAATCGAGGTTTTTGTTACACCCTGAAAACGAACCAAACCGATCAACGCTTTAGCATTCTCCGGGGAGCCGATGGCACCCAGCTCCATGGTCGTGTAGAGCCATCAGCCGCTCTGCGACGCATGGCCGTGCCAGACATGTGCAAACCTGTGGCCGATTCGAAACCCATTACATGACGTATCCGAGCCATGTGATGCCTTTGGTAGTTTCCGAAGGCAGATCCGGCCGTTTGCATTTATCAACATGCCAACGGATGGCATTGCAGCAAGGTTCTTTCTGAAAATGAGGCAAGTGAACCAACCGAACCCAGGCAGGCAGGCCTCTCCATTGAAGTGAGAGATGCAGATGGTGTGGAAAGAAAACCACGTGTGCTAAGAGGCGCCAGCATCGAAAGCAGCACAGCTATGCAACAACGCGAACTACTTTCCCCACATCCAGAAGAAGATGTGGGTAATTCTGTAAATTAAGGTACCTCTTGGCGTCCTTGTTATAAGAGTGCCGCACTATGTTGGGGACCTGAAAAGGGACCCGTATGGGCGTATGTGCGGCTAGCACGCATACATGAACCTCACATGAGTACATGCATACGCACGCCAACGGATCCAGATGAGGTTCGAACACAAGTTACACACAGTCGTTACCGCTTGCCACGCATTGAAAGTGTAAGCCGGATGTAGTTTGGGAGGATCCTGATGTTGTGGATGAGATGGGCCGCTCTCCCCTGCACATCGCTGCCTGGTGCGGCAATGTGGAATGTGCTTCCCTGCTAGTGGAGGCGCGTTGTTAAAGGTTTGTCCTCAATTCAATGGTGTGTTTCTTTGACCCACCTGTCATACCAAGGGTCCACCACTAGAACAATGGTTGGGGGGGTACAATTTGCAAACCCTGAGGTCAGCGCATACCGATCAATACATGTAGCTTCAATATCTTCAATGTAGCAGTAACGTGTACTGTCAGAAAATGAACAACAGCGAATCTAGCAAGGTTTGTGGTACTTCACGACTGAAGGAGAAAGGGAACCGTATTTTTTCAAACAACCCCGACAAGGCCTTAGCAAACGTGGACCACAGTGACCCTGACGGTGCCACAGCATTGCTTGCAGCATCTCACCAGGGCCACACGGAGGCTTGGGCCTGTTGGTTGGGTTGTAGAAGGTAATGGATTTTTATGTGTTTAGGGTCATTGTCGTGGTCGTTTTTGTGTTAATCTTCGTGTTCTTCTTCGTCTTCGTCTTCGTCTTCGTCTTCGTTTTCTTCGTCTTCGTCGTCTTCGTCGTCTTCGTTTTCGACGCTACGACTGATGGTTCTGCCGCTGGTGGTGCTGTTGCTGCTTGTGCTGCTGGTGCTGCTGGTGCCGCCAGTGCCGCTGGTTGCGCGGTGCTGCGTTACTGCTGCTGCTGCTGCTACTGCTGCCGTTGTTGCTGCGTTTGTTGTTGATGATGTTGATAAAGATAGGCCTTGCTGCCCTGGAAGGTTGTGCGGTTCTTGCTTCAGTGCTCTGCAGAAGTGGCGAAGGCCGAGACCGAGGGCGCCAGCCCACTTTTTGTCGCTTCGCAGAAGCCCGACGGCAGGATGTCAAGCTGTTTTTAGGTCTGTGGGGGGTATGTAAACGGATCTTGCACAGCTGCCAATGCACTTGGCCGGAGGTTTGGTGCCTTTCATACAGGAGGTCTTCTTTCTATAGAAGTTTTTTGCCATTGGAGGATGAAGTTTCGACAGCCTAAGATACATGCAATGACGGTGCGTTTACTTTTCTTCGGATTTTGATGGGTGCTATCAGTGTCTGCTTCAGACCGGCCACCAGCCCACAGACCCTAAGATTTACGCAGAGGAACGGTCACGTGGAGGTCGCTCGCTGCCTGCTGGACGGGCGGGCCGACCTACACCAGACCCTGACCAACGGCGTCTCGCCCCTGGCCTCGGCAGCACACAAAGGCCACATGCAGGTGACGGATCTTCTGATCCAGGCTTGGCGTCTCGGTTCGTCTCTTTTTCTTGTCGTTATTGTTGTTTTCCCTCTGCTGCCTCTCCTTCCTCTCCCTCTCCTCCTCCTCCCTCTCCTCCCTCTCCTCCCTCTCCTCCCTCTCACCTTTTTCTTTTTTTCAGGATGTTCAAGGACTTGATGGACTTGGCTCTGTGGGTAGGTCTGATGGTTCCGAATCTTGTGTTCCGTGATCTTTGCAGGCAGAAGCCGATGTCAACCAAAGCGACAAGAGTGGTTTCACGCCGCTCTTCCACGCCTGTCGCAAGACACATTCTGAGATCGCTGGTGGCGGTGAGGCTAAGCTCCTTTGCAGGCGGGCCAAGGCCCTTCTGGATGGTCTTGCGGGCCGAATCGAGGTCTTCTTCTAGTGGGTGCCGTCGCACGGCAAGTGTGCACCAAGCCGGTGGCGGGTTCCACCTTGTGGGGAGCCTGTCGCCAGGGCTTTGAATGCTCGTGCGGATCGTGTGGCACGTTCTTGTGCTGAGCGGCGTACCTCTGGCTCTAGACGTGAAGCTTGTGCGCATCTTCGCGAAGCCGCTTGTGCTTGGGAGGAGCAGGCCTTGCAGTCCTTGACTAGGATTGCTCATCGTTGGATGGAGGCCTAGTTGGGCGGCGGATGGTCGGCTACGACTTCGGCATCGTGCTGGCCACTACAAATTCCAATTCACATTCTGAGATCGTCCGCTTGTTGCTGGAGGCCAGGGTGGTGGTGGACCGTGCCAGCAGGGATGGTGCGACGCCCCTGATCATTGCGGTTGAGAAAGGCTGCATGGAAACTACTCTGCTGCTCCTGCAATCTCAGGCAGACCCTCGCAAAGCCACAGCTACGGGAGCAACCCCGCTGCTCGCAGCATCCCTCTACGGCCACAAGGAGATCTTGCGCTTGCTGGTCGCATCGTGTCGCGAGAGTGACGTCTCTCGGAGCCTCTCGCCCAGCACATCTCCCCTTCCCAAGACACAACGGGGTCCCAGGCAAAGTTCCGGGGAGCTCCTGGAAGCCTTCGAAGACCGGAGGCCGAAGAATCTCGAAGACTTTGACAAGCGATGGCAACAAAAAGCTGACTGCCGCGGAAACGGACCTGCGCTCGCCACCGGATCCCCTAGAAGCTGCTACCCCACGGCCGCATCCTGGCAGAAGCATGGTGTGGTCCGGCAAATACTTCTGAACGGTGAGCTCCCCGGGGCTTCCCCCCTCTCCTGTAAGATCAGCTCGAAGCCGAGATCCACCGTCGAGGAAGTGATGTAGAATTGCGGATACCCCAGAATTGGGAAATAGAATGTCCTTCTAACCTGTATGTAGTGACAGTGTGGTGCCCGAAAGACTAGGCCCTCCGGGCTTAGTGGCCTAGAAGCACCCGACCTATCCTAGAGATTTGAAGTTGATTAGAAGTGCAGAGAGTGCAGTTCCGGAGCCGTGAATTCAAGACATTTCCAGCCTTTCCAGGAGTTCCAGCGATCCACTGCTGCCACGCCTGCCAGCAGAGAGGGCAAAAGAGACGGCAAGAAGGAGGCGAGATCGGAATGTGGTATGATTTGAAGTTCGCTGACGCTGGCCCCCCTTTTTAGGGTTCCCGTTCCTGTATCAGATGTTGTTTTGATGACTCTGCGCAGCAAGGCTACGTCCCAAGAGGCCGAAGAAGCCGTGGATGATGCGCAGGCAGGGCAAACCCCAGTCTGGATTACACAACCTCTCCAGCTGTGTTGATCGGAAAATCAAACCACAAGGTCCCTTCTGTTAGTATTGTTGTCAATTACATGAAAGTTGGAGCCGAGACCCTGACCAAGATCAACCCTGTAAACCGGTACACGGCCTACAAAAACCCCCGAACCTCGTACGACCCTTCATGGGAGTGCCCTGTAGATGCGAAAGTCTGCGAGCATGAAATCCCTTGCATCGGTGCAGTCGCCGACATCACCGCCACTCGACAGAAATGAACCTGCTTCGGGGTCTTAAATGTGTCCACGTTGCGCATTCTGTGTTCCCCCTAATTGCAGGGTTTCGTTGGTGTTTTCTGGGGTTTAAAGGGCTGAAAGCTGAAAGTTCAGAGCACAACTCAGGCAACAGCCCCTTCGTCCCCCTCCAAGGTCCGCGGAGGTGTTTTGCGAAAACCCCTTAGTCGAGGGCATGCAGCCACATCTCTTTCTGGAGAGTGCAAGCCCTGAGGTGGAGTAAGTATGGTTAGTCTGAGTTAGTCTTGTTCTTATGTAAACCAGGTTGGTGATGCTGATGATCAATATTACTCTATTACTACCACAATTCATACGATGATGAGTGTTGTTTTCCATCTGATCATGAAGGACATCCTTCTCAATTTTCATTCGTGGATTCAGGCATTCCAGCTTTGTGGAGAGGAGGTCCCTTCGCCCTTCATTTTCGTAGCTCTGGGAGGGTTGTGGAGACGGCATAAGCGTTTTGAAGGGTGTCTCAAGTTAGACGAATTGTAGCCCCAAGAAGCAAATCCCTAAACCGTAACATCCTCAAACCCCAAACCCTGAAACGCTTAAGCCCTGAACGGTTCCAAGAAGTCTCGCGCGCCAGAAACCCTCAACTCTCAAGCCTCCAAGTCCATAAATAATCCGGAGTCGTTGGCAATTCCACCGAAGTCACAATACAGCACAGTAGCGTGCTAGTTGGGTGCCGCATTCCGGAAGTCTCTTCATCGAAGCAACCTTCCAGGAAACATTTGAGGCCTATTCTCCACGTCTTTGTGCCTGTGAGGAAGTCGCTCATGTCCACCATGACGTCCTTGAAGTCTCTCAAGTGTCCTTGCTGCTTCAAGGAGGAGAAACCCGGTTTCGGCCGCTTCAATTACAAACTGATCCCGACGTCCTTCATTATGCCCCAAAATTAAAGCCAAAATCAGGATATCGCCTGATATCGCATATACGTCCCCTTATGTTATCATGAACCCCATAATTGAGGTAGGGGTATCATGGTGAAATGCTTCTGCTTCTGTCCTTTTGGGGGCCCCAGCTTCACCCTGAACAACCTCCTCCTCCTCCTCCTTCCTCCTCCTGCGTTGAAGTCTAGTGTATTTGATCCTCGTTTGATCATTGTGCGGTTGCCCTACATTAACTTCTTGGCCCTGACATCAAGACTGAGCAAGAGACGAAAGAGAGAGAGAGAGAGAGAGAGAGAAGAGAGACACAGAGAGAGACGGAGAGAGAGATGAGGTCCATGAAGTCGATGGCGTCTCACGTCTCTGTGCTTCTCGGATTGAGTGGGGAAGCGGGTTCAAGCGAGGTTTGCGGCCGACTCCAAGGCTGCCAAGGCACTTTAGTTCAAGAGATGTTGAGAAGCTCACAGCCTCAGGAGCCCAAAGGCATTACAAAAAGTGACAGACCAATCAAAGCCTCGAGCTATCTTTGCTCGAGGTCCTCCGCAGCTAGCGCGGACGCCGACACGACGGCCTCTTCTGCAGCTCTTGGGGACACAGCGGACCTCTCCGGTAGTGGCTGGGGCACAAAGAATCCTTCACTTTCGAACCTGAGGCTTTTGAGCACTTGACGAGTTGAATCTTGCGTTTCACGGGCTCTGCAAAGCAAGAGTGACAGAAGCGATGGACTAGAGAACGAGGCACCCAAATCCAGCCTTGTGCGAGATCTTTTCTGGCCCCGAAACTCAGAAATCAATAGCCATGCTCCTGAACTCCGACACGATATTCCGGGATTGCAGGTGCATCGCCGAAGCCGACGCCTGCGTTTACTTCCCAAGGACCCTAACCAGTGGCTTGCTGCAAGGCTTTGATCTCATCGACTCGGCACCTCCATGCTGCATGTTTGTACTGTAGTAATTCTCCTCCCTTCTCCTTCACACAAGTATGCTCTGAGGCGGCATGCGTTTCAAGCTGCACCGAGGGTACTAAGCGAGAGCCCGGATCCTAGGGCCCCATTCGGCCCTATGATCTTCTAGAAATCCTGCGAGATCTGCGGCAGGCCAGGATGAGGGCAACTTCTGCGAGACAGCACGGGCACTCTTCGGCCGTGCTTCGGTGGCACTCATTCTCACCGGGTCCAGTATGGGCAATATCAATATTGGTGCGGAACGACAAGGAATGATGAAGATGATGACGAGGATTACGAGGATGATGGTGATGGTGGTGACGATGGTGCTGCTGCGCTCCACTGCGACCAGAAAGCCTGAATACTGTCGGTGGCCTGAGGCCCTCGGCCCTGAACGGGGAAACTGTTGACGCCGTTGAGTGGCTTACTAGTAAGTGTATTCACGAAATAATTCTGAGGTGGGTCCATGGTACTAACTTACTAGTTACTAGCGGTTGGTACTGACGTTGGTGTTCATGCCGATTCATGATGATGATGCTGCTGCTGATGATGATGATGGCTGTCGCGCCGCCGCAGGGCAGCTTGTGGGTGCAGTTGGGAGTTTGGCTGGAATCGCCGACAGGCTTCATGCATCCCAACAACATCGAGACGCCGGAAGCAGGCGTGCATGGGGAAAGCAGGGTGCCGACGTTGGTACTTGAGATGATTGTAGGTCGTGAGCCCTCAAGCCCCCAACTCTCAACCCTGAATCCCGGCATTCAACTCATAATCCTCAACTTCAGGCCACTACCGCGTCTCTCACAGCTTCACCAAAGTGCGCTCCCCGCCGCTTGGATATTCTGGTATGGTTGTTTTCCCGAGGTTGTCTCTGGGAGGGTGGGATAGCGTTGGTGTTATCGAGGGTTCTGCTAGAGCTCCCTGACTTCGGGTTTGAACCATGTTGAACCCCAAAAGCCCCAAAGCCTTAAACCCGCCCGTGCCTGAGGCTCTGGGAGTTCGGTGCCAGGTCGAAGCACATCCCGAGGCTACCCTGCTCTTCAGAGCTTTCCGGCGAAGATTTCCGGGATCCTGAACCTTAAATCCCCTAAAGGCCCTAAAGAAGCTCTGGACTGCCCTGGAAACTTCAAAACAAAACAAGTCCTTAAGCAGTAACTCCCCGAAGCTGAACCCTCAAACGAACAGAGGCATCAAGTTGAGGGTTTCGAGGGTTGGCATGGAGGATTGGCCTGAAAGCGTGCAGGACGAACAGGTCATTTGGGGGAGGAATTTTGGGGTGTTTCTGGGCGGAGTACAGGACGTTGAGTTCCGGACCGGATGCAGCTGTTCTAAATATGATGAACATGTCAGGCGGGATACGCGCACGCTCTGTCTGCATGCTGTGATGTCGGAGCCTTCGATCCCAAGCTTGACGTGCACTCGCCACCATTCCGCGAGGAAGCAGCGAGAAGCGGACTCTGGCAGCTTGACTTTGCCATCAGGAGTATTCTTTTCGGGGTCTGTGCTGGCGAGCCCTAGACTCTGTGACGCCCCTGAATTCGAGCATCAAGCGGACGCCTAAGCTCCAGGAGCTCGAAAGAGCCCGAAGCCGTCCTTTTGCCTTCAACTGCAGCCTGTCTTCTGATCCGAGAACCCTGCTTACCAGATGATCTCGTCACGAACGATTCTGAAACGGTTGAGGAATGGAGCTTGGGGAGACTTGGTCCAGCTTCTCTAAGGCAAGGGTGGGTGGTCGGAGTTCAGCTTTACTCAGTGTGCCCTGAGCCCGAACAGCTCGGCAGCGACCGGAAGCATGCTTTAGTTGAAAAGCCACACCACGCTGCAGATCACTGTGCCTACAGCGAACCTCAAGCCCTTTCAGCGCATGTTACAGTCCCTGGGCACCTGAGCAGGCGTACGAGCCTGGGCTGCGCGACGGCTACCTGAAGCTGGCCACCTCGAGGTCTGTTGATTTCCGGGGTTCAAAGGCTTTTGGGACCTAGTCATAAACCGTTCCTGAACCGTAGAGTTGAAAAAGTTGAGAACCCTACCTAAACCCCTTTTCCCCTACTCATGAGGTGTTTGTTGGGTGTGTAGAGCCCCAAGCTCAGGGTTTCAGAAGCGCCATCTTGCCCGGACCGAGGCCAGAGCCTGCAGACGCCTGCCACTATGGCATGACCTTCGCACCGGAGCACTACGGGGTACCTGAAACGCACGAGACCCGCGCTTCTGTTTGCTTGGGGCTTGGGGTTTCAAGGTACATGCGCCACAGCTTAAACTCGCCGAGGCGGTCATTTGGTTGTAGGCTTCATGATTTAGTGTTTCAGGCCCAGCGGCTTCGTTGGGAATTTGGCTTGCCTTTGAGCCCTTGCCTTTGAATCCCAGAAACTATCTAAATTACCTTCTTAGCCACATTTCAACCCCAATCGCCCCTTTCGAGCTGAATCTTGTTCATCCCATCGTGTCAAGATCCAGCAGAGCCAAAAGAAAGGCGTGGGCCACTCTGGATGCTGCTGCCTCGTCGTCAGCTCGGCAACCCGCCTCCTGGCTCCACCCAGCCCGAAGCGGGCGGCTTCGGTTTCAAGATGTTTCCGGGTTTTGGGGTTGGGGTTCAGGGTTTGCAGTAGGGTCCATGCGGGTCAATATGCATCCGGTGCCCTGCGACCAACCTGCAAAGGAAGGGAGTGGAGCGCGTTTCGGCCTGGATGCCTTTTTATGCACATCGTACCGCTTTATTCTTGGCAGTCTCGATTACCATGACCAGTAGTCAGTAGAGAACTTGCAGCCACGGTCTCTCAGATTTTACCTGCGGGCTTTGGGGTAGAAGGGAAGACTCGGGCTGCACGCTGAATCATCTTTCAAGTTCATCCCGTGGTCATTCAAGGGAGGATTTTTTTTGTTTTTTGTGGTGGGAGGGGGGGGGGGTCGGCGTGGGGTTGCTTAAGACAGTACACTTGCTCGCTGAGCTTTATGGGATTCCGTGCCAGGGGTATGACCGGGTAGGAGATTCAGCACACGGAAACCTTTCACAGGAGTCCCTACGGAAGCCGCTCTTTGCGAAACCCTTCCGACCCCTTTAAGGAGACGCTTCAGTGTATACGTCCTATGTGTGCCATGTAGGTGTTTGTAATGCGCATACGGGATAAAAAGTGTGGTTTTCGATTTGTGAACAGTATGTATAGCAGGTAAAGAACATGTATATATGTACATGTATATACATATATGTGTGTATATATATACATATATATATATGTTACATTCGATTGTAGGCTGTTGAGTCTGCCGCAATAAATACTATAAGTTAAAACTAATACATATTTGCTTTCTCTCTCTCTCTCTATGTATACACACATATCATAAACGTATACTCCCTCTCTCTCTATATATAAGATACGAACTATGTATACTATGTATACTATTGATAACCTACATATATATATACACATACACGATCAATGTATACATACATATCTATATATATATATGTATATGTGTATGTATATCTGTATATATATATACGCATACACGGTCAATGTATACATACATATATCTATATATATATATGTATGTATGTATATGTGTATGTATATCTGTATATTTTACACATGTATACGATATATATATATACACACACACATACACATATATACTCACACACACACACACCTTCTGTATATATATATATATACATATACAGACACACACACTTCATATGTTCATGCAGAAGATTGCTAACACATGAAATCTGTATTATATATATATATATACAATATACACATACATACATACATACATAAATACATACATACATACATACATACATACATACATACATACGGTATGTATATAAATTCATGAACATCATATGAGATAGAGAGAGTATCTATTTATCTATCTACCTACCTGCCTATCTATCTATCTATCTATCTATCTATCTACATATCTATACATATATATACATACATGCATACATACATACATACATACATACATACATACATACATACATACATACACACACACACACATATATATATATAGAGAGTCTAGAAGTTACATAAAGAAAGTACAGTATACCTGCAGTGTGTGCATATGAATGTATGCACCTTTGTGTGTGTGTGTGCGTATATAAGTATTATCGTAAACTCATAAATAAGAAAACATTCTACAAAGCAGCATAGCAACCAAATGAATATTTCTTAGATGTGTATGTATGTGTATATGTGTATTCCTTCCGTCCTTCCTTTTTTCCCTCCTTCCTTACTCCCTCCGTTCGTCCTTTCTTCCTTCCTGCCTTCCTTATTCCTTCTTGCCTTCCTTCCTTTCTTCCCACCTCCCCCGGGACAAAAAAATAATGACGCAAAACAAATACAAAAAGGGCCCCCCAAAATAGGTACCCTTCAGGGGGCGCAGGACAAACCCGGGCTTTTTGTTGTGAGCTCGTCCTGCGACAGCAACAAGGGCCCATCGTGGTCGCAGAGCTGGCCCCCCGGGCCTTCGGCCTTCGGCCTGGGGCCTAAAACCTCCCAAAGCCAGCTTTTCCCCAACCGTTGGGAGCAGCTCAGGCGTGGGACTTCAAGAGACACATGCAGCTCGGACATGTGAGAAGAGGGTCCACTTCACAAACAAAGGCCGAGCAAATTGGAGCATTTTCGGTGGACCTCATTTCGCAGGAACAGCTGGTCATGTCAGTGATTGCCAGTTTCCAAAAGGGGCGTGCAGGCGGCCCAACATACTCGAAGTTCGATGCAAGCATCGTGGACTGGTGAGCAGCTCATGCTCAATCCTCAATCAGCACACGAAGCCTCCAGTGTGAGAACGGACATGAGTCCCTCAGCACATGCTTGGCCCGAATTTTCGGGCCCGCGAAGGTCTGAACCCCACGAGTTGTAGGCTGAGAGCCTTAGGAGACATTCCTTCGCAGACCTTATATGAGGTGGAAGCCCGTGCCCCGCCGTGCCCAGGCATGGGCATACTGCAGACTTTGCCATGAACTTCCCGCTCCTTGGCTGAATGGTTCTCTGCGCTGGAGAGGTTCACGTTTGGTGTGTCGGGTGTGTGTAGGGGTTTCGAAAGTTTGGGAGATCGTGGCTCAGTCTTTAAGGTTCCAGAGCTGGGAATGCTTGAATTGATGATGCTAGGGGTCTCAAGCAGTTTTTGCGTTGGTTTCGAAGGTAGTCTGTGCAAAGCAGTGGATTTCCAGCCATCACGACCATCTCGATCACGACAAGCCACGACCACCGCGACCACCACGACTGCCACCACCACGACTGCCGCCGTCGCCGCCGCCACCACCACCACCACCACCACCACCAGTACTCGTACGGCCCCCGTACGAGCCCCCAGCCGTCGACGCTGGTGACTGGAGCAAGCTGAAGCTTTGGGCGTAAGTTGAATCGAAGCCTAAAAGACGCCAAAGCCGTCCCACAACTTTGGGCAGCCTAAGTGCCTAGTAGGACCGTGAACCCTAAGACCTGGTTTTCTCTCTAAGGTTTTTCGAGCCGGGAAAATACAACGTCAAGGATCAGTACACCTGCGTCGGCATGCCCTTTTCCAAGGTCAGCTGCAGTTGCGAACGGATTTCCGAAGCTTTTGGATGACCCAAACCGCATTGTTTCTGGAATGCTATCCTGGGAGGGTTGTGGAATCTTGTTTAGATGTCTTATAATACTACCTATCCTTTCGGGTTTTGTCTTGCGGACTATTGCGGTCTCTTCTGATTTTCCCCAGGTTTGGGGGCCTCAGCCGCAGTTCGGTGGGATGGTTTGCATATTGACGACCTTGCTGCAGGAAGGCTTTCTCAGTTTGTGGATCCTCTCGTAGCCTTTTGTTTGGGTCTCTACTCGTACGTTAAGGATCATCAGTCTTCGGCGTTTGCACTAGGGTTCCTCATGCCTCCAAGCCCGATACACTTGAATGGCAAACACCCAGCCCTGAGTCTCAGTACCGCAAACCTTAGGCCTAGCACAAGTCTCTACCCGAGTTCCGAGACGATAAGCTGCAAACCCTGCGCTTGAAAGCCCGAGAAATCCCAAACTCCAGCCTTTACGATAAGATGATGGACAAAACGACCAGGGGCTCAGCCGCTCGCAGTCGGCGGGAGAGGTTTCACAGGACAGGGCTTAGGGATGGGGCCTTTGGAGTAGTAGGGTTGAGTCTTAGGTTTGCAGGACTAGGGGTTACGGTTTCTCAGAAGCTTGTGGTTCCGACTTTCCGTTTCTCATCATCTTCGTTTGTTTGCTGCCGCTGCTGCTGCTGCTGCTGCTGCTACTGCTGCGGTTGCTGTCGTTCTTGTTGCTAGTGGTGCTGCTGGTGTTATTCTATATGGGCATCCATCAAAACTTCCGTAAGTGTAGTTAAGAGGAGGGTGGTCGTTGAAGGCCGGATCTTGCCAATTTCCTTGGAAAGCGATGGGACCCCCCCAACAATCGATACGACCAACAAAGATCATCTGTTGTGACATGTCAGTGCTGCCGCCGCGGCATGTATGCCTTAATTTTCCGTGTGATATGTGGCTAGGCAATCGATACCCATTCTGATGGAAAAAGGGCAATGTAGGGCAGGTAAAGGGCAGTAAAGGGCAGGAAAAGGCACTAAAGGGCAGCTCAAGGCAGTAAAAGGCAGTAAAGGGCAGTAACAGGCAGTAAAGAGCAATAAACGGCAGCAAAGGGCAGTAAAGGACAGGTCAAGGGCAGTAAAGGGCAGTAAAGGGCTGTAAAGGGCAGATAAAGGGCAGGAAGAGTAAACAACAGTTTAGGGCAGCAAGGGGCAGGGCAAGCTACAACTAGGATCAGTGAGTCTGATGGTCTTCTTACTTTCAACAGATCAAAGCGATACTTCACTGTCAATGGAATAAGCCTGTTCAGGAGCTGATCGGTGGTTGCATGCTGCAGCCCCTTTCCTGTCCAGTCGGAGAGTTGAGCAAGCACTTCAAAACAGTGTTGTGTGCAGGTTGGTTATAAGTAGGTAACCGCCCTTTCTTGCCCGCGCCTGCTTATGCAGGGTAGCGGAGCTGTGTCCCTGATCCCGGGCCAGCTCTTGAGGAGGAAGCGCTTCGGTGCCCCCCTCGGCGGGCGGACTCGTTTTGTCGCTCCCCGCTTGCCGAGAAAGCGATCAGCGCCCCCGGCAGCCGTCGGTGAAGACGGCTAAGGATCGAAAGCGATCCAGCAAAGGAGCCCACAGAGGTGGCAAGGGAAAGCCCGGTAAGGGCAAGGCGTGGAAGGGCCAAGAGAGAGGAAGGAAGCGCCGTGCTGGTGAGCGGGACCAGCAGCCAAAGGCAAAGGCAAGGGATGCACCGACCGCGTGTCATTGCACGTGCGCACACACATGTGTGTTGAAAACGCGAGAACTTCGTGGTCACATTTTGACAGGTCTCGGGAGGTGGATGTGTGACGATGTGACTTCATGTCATGTGTGTCGCAGCTACAAATTTGAACGAGCCTCTAGCTGTGGTCACACTTCCCCTTGCGATGGTTGTCCGAGGCCCTTGCTTGCGGGTGGGTGATTCGCGGGCGCCTGTGTGTTGCAGAACAGGTAACAAGGATAAAAAGGGAGACCATGATGACAGTTGGCTTGTGGCGCTTGTGTGTGAGCGCTGACGGCGTGCGGTGCTTGCGTTAATTGCACACATGTTCATGTCGCAGCAAAGCACGGAAGGCGTTGTCACGGTTCTGGTAAAGGTGCTTGTCTGTTTGGAAATGCACGCACGTGCGCGCGCACGCGCAGACGTGTTGCCAGAACTTGAGGTTGCCCGGTCACAGTTCCACTTCGCTTCCCGTGATACTGCGCATGCGACTGCGCCAGCATGCTTGTTGAGAGGGCAGGAATCTGTGGTCGCCGCTCCTACGAAGTGCTTGTGTGAGTGAGTGTGTGTGTGTGTGTGATTGCACCTGTGCGCAGCACACATGTGTGTTGCAGAAGCCAGGAGTTCGTGGTCGCAGTTTCCGTTTGTGCAAGCGTATGTTTCTGTCGCTCTGAGGCAGTGAGTGCACAAGCACATGTGTGGCAGAAGCAAGCAATGCGATCGCGCAGACGTGTGTTGCCAAATCACATGCATTTTCCAAAGAGAAATCGTTGTCACGACTCCACTTGCCTTAGCACGTGCTTAGGAGCCCCCCACACAGAGACACACACACACACACCCCCCCACGCGCGCGCACGCGCACGCACGCGCGCGCGCGCACGCACCCCCACCCACCCACACACACACACACACGCACTCACAGCGCACAATGACAGTTCCACTCGTTGTGGTTGTGTATTTGCCAGCACACATATGTGTATTGCAATGAAGGAACCCGGGGTCATGTGTGTGTGTGTGTGTGCAGAACTAAGCTGAGCATTAAGATTAGGATACTTAATTTAGCCTGTGCTGACATTTCTGCTTGCGGTGCTTGTGCGTGATCGACTGCACACACACACACATCAGTGTCTATAGAAGCAAGGAGTCTGTGGTCACGATTCCACTTACAGCGCTTGCTTCTGTGATTGTGCGCGTGTGCTTGTGGCAGAAATGCGAGGAAGCCGTGGTCGCGGTTCTGCTATGGAGATCTCGTGTGTTTGATTGCGCGTGGGTGCTCAGAGACTATGGTCATGAAGTGATAGTGCATACGGCTCCACTTGCGGTTCTTTTGTGAGTTGGGTGTATGTGATCTCGAAAAAGATACACATATGTGTTGGATTATGGCTGCCCCCACTCAGTAACAGGTGAGTAATGTTCTGAATATGGGTATATAAGACCCTTAATAGTAGCCCTAGTATTGACTGTTACTGTATGGGGGCAGTACCCAACATATGTGTTTGGCAGAATCCAGTTTTCACAGTTCTGTTGTGTGGGTGTGTCGGCAGAGTCATTCTGCCCGTTAGGCAGACACATGTGTGCTGCTGAAGCCAGGAAACGCGTTGTCATCGACTGTTGCGTGGATCCGTTGGCAGATGCATTTGTGCTGCAGAAAGCTATCTGGCTGAGTGGGCACACACACATGTGTGTTACAGAAGACAGGAGGTCGTAGGAGGTGCATGTGTGATCATGTGATTTCACGCACACGTTTGTGTTGCAGACCCTTTGTCACAATCTACTGTGTGCTTGTGTCGGCAGATACATTTGTGTTGCAGAATTCTATCTTGGGTCATTCCAGATGATTGCGACACACATGTGTGTTACAGAAGGCAGGAGTTCGTGGTCGCAGTTTCCGTTTGCGGGGCTTGCGTATGTTTCTGTCTTCGAGTGTGCCAGTACATGTGCGTCAGAAGCAAGCAATCATCCGCTGTCACGGTTCCTGTGATGGCGACTGTGCAGACAGTGCAGACGTGTGTATTGAATTATAAAGAGTCCGTTGTCGTGAGCTCTTTCGCTGTGTCCGTGTGTTGCACACTCGTGTCCCTAGAGAGGCCCGCGTTCGCTGTCAGGTTGCTGGTGCGGTGCATGTGTGTTTCCACACACACCTGTGTGTTGCAAAAGCAAATTGGTCGTGGTCATGCCTCGGCTTGCGATGACATTTTGAGTCAGCGTGAGCAGCTACCAGTGTGTTGCACAAATGTGTGTTCCGCCTCCGGTTGTGGGAGGTGGGTGTGTGATCATGTGAGTTCCTG